TGGCAAGTAAAAGCCGAGAGTCTGTTCCGGACGAGATCGAAGAGTTTCTCATACTTGGCGCCGGCAAGATCGAAGTGGTGCGAAGATCGAGCCCACCTGCACTTATCTCGCTGTCAGAAACCACTCCTCAGGACCTAGTCGCCGAGTTCGGGCCACCTGATGCCATTTACCGTAAACATGACCGGAGAATAGCTATTCATCGAGCCGCCGGCCGTAGCGGTGGCGAGGATGCTCTTCACATGGGCTCTTCTCCAGGCAGAGGAATAGATGTTACTGACATCGATCAATCTTCAAACAACAGTGTGTCTGATGATTCAGACGACGAACTCTTCCAACCAAACGCATCGGATCCTTCGTCACTACCGTCTGAATGCTTCTTCAACTACTTCCACCATGGCTTTGATGCATTTATCTCCTATCCCACCACGCCCGGTCCAGCCTTCCCAGAATCTGACCAGCGAGACCCCACTCCACCCCCACCCCATTCGCAGTTAGTGGTAACCAAGATCATCCTACATGGAAATGTGCCGGGTTCATATCCTTTCAATCGTCATCGCCGCAGCCGGTGGAGGATCATTTTCAGTTCGCCTGATGATTTTGTTACTTCCGAGACCCGTTATGAAGAGGTTTCAGAGCGTCTCAGGTCAACCTGGAGGGGATCTTATGCGAGCCCTGCGGAGGAGCGGGCTCTACAGCGGCCCATGGTTTTGAACCGAGGGTGGGGCGACAGCCCAGAGAGCAGCGTCGAATTTCTCGGCGGATGGGAAGAGAGCACAGGCAAAGGGCAGAGGGCGGGCCACGACGCGCATGACGGCGGACTAGGCAATACTGAGCTCTTCGGATTCCCTGGTCTGTTGTTCGAGGTGATGAAGAATGGCGCAGTGAGCTGCTTGACTATCTATTAACGTGATCGTTTCCTCGCAAGGGTGGGCCGGAGTTTTGGGTTGGTGTCTTCTGGCAAGCATCAGATTCATCGATATTGCATACATTGATAGAAATACTGTACTAATTCAAGCCAACGTTGCTACATGGAGAGGTTGCTTTTCGGGTTTACTATGTGTATCTAATTTTGGCTTCCGTATTGAATGACAGTACCCCCAATAAATAATGGATGTTATTGGTAGGTTGTGTAACTTACCGTAATACAAATACACGCCTTTTGCGGCCGCATCGGAGATGGGTGGACATTATTTGAATCTCCGCTCCCCAACCAGACTAACCACCCACCCTCTCGCCCAATCCCACCAAACTCAAACAGTGGGATATGATACAGCGGTAGTATGCCGGACCTGCCACGGACGCTCGCTCGGTCCTGGTCGTCGACGCTCAAGCTCCCGAAATCGACGTTCCCTGCACGCGTGACGCCGGCCGATCGGACAAAATACTTGCAGCGATGCACCGACGACCTCTACGCCTGGCAACAGCGTGAACGACCAGCCAGCCAGCCGTTCGTCCTACACGATGGACCGCCATACGCAAACGGCGACCTTCACGTTGGCCATGCCCTCAACAAAGTACTAAAAGACATCATTTGTCGTGTGCAGCTCGGTCTGGGGAAGCGGATACGATACGTACCGGGATGGGACTGTCACGGCTTGCCGATAGAGCTGAAGGCTCTGGAAGCGCAAAAGGAACTACAGGGACAGGAACACAATGGGCCCGTTAGCGCGGCGTTGGTACGCAAGGCTGCGCGCAAATTGGCTGATCGGACAGTCAAGGCGCAGATGAAGGGATTCCGGAGCTTCGCGGTCATGGCGGACTGGGAGAACCATTGGAAGACTATGGATAAGGCGTTCGAGAAGAGACAACTTGGCGTGTTTCGTGAAATGGTCGATAAGGGATTGATTTATCGGAGGTTCAAGCCGGTTTACTGGTCGCCGTCTACTGGTACGGCGCTGGCGGAGGCCGAACTGGAATACAAGGAAGATCATGTGTCAACGGCTGCTTTGGTGAAATACCCTCTTGCTAGCATCCCGGAGCATCTGGCACAAGACCCCCTGCTCAAGGATAAGGAAATCAGCGCTGTTATTTGGACTACGACTCCCTGGACACTCCCGGCAAACGCGGCTATTTCGGTTCACCCGTCTTTGGATTACACCATCGTCGAATCGGATACACAGGGCTATCTCCTCATCGCGCAGTCTAGGCTGGAATATCTCGAGGGCATTCTGAAGGAGGATCTGTCGGTCATTGTACCGGCTATCCCTGGATCGAAGCTCGCTGACCAAACTACTTACCGTTCTCTGTTCAAGGGACCCGATGCGGAGCCGCAACCCATCATCGCCGCGGACTTTGTCACCGCCGACTCTGGGTCCGGTCTTGTTCATTGCGCCCCAGGCCACGGTATGGAAGACTACGAAGCCTGCTTATCCCGAGGTATCCCCACATTCGCTCCCGTGGACGACAACGGCAAATTCACCGACAAGGCCATGCCCAGTGACCCGACGAGGCTCAGCGGAAAGAGCGTTCTGGGTGACGGAAACGCCGCTGTTCTCGAATACGTCGAATCTCAAGGCCTGCTGATCACCAAGCACAGATACGAGCACAAGTATCCCTACGACTGGCGGTCCAAGCTTCCCATCATCATCCGCGCCACAGAGCAATGGTTCGCCGACGTAGCAGACATCCGTGGCAGCGCCATGACCGCGCTGGAAGATGTCAACTTCGTGCCCACTGCCGGAAGACAGCGACTGGAGAACTTCGTGAAGAACCGCAGCGAATGGTGTATCTCGCGTCAACGCGCCTGGGGTGTCCCTATCCCGGCGCTCTACCACCGCGGCACCGGCGATGCCCTGCTCACCAAGGATAGCGTGTCCCACATCATGAACGTCATCGAAGAGCGTGGCATTGACGCATGGTGGACAGACGATGCCAACGACGAAGCTTGGATCCCACCAGCTCTCCGAGATGCCTCTGGACCCGGCTACAGACGCGGAACCGACACCATGGACGTGTGGTTCGACAGCGGCACCAGCTGGACCGAGATCGACCTGCCCTACCGTGACGGCGGATATCCCGCAGATGTCTACCTAGAGGGCACCGACCAACACCGTGGATGGTTCCAGTCCGGCCTTCTCACCTTCATCGCCCACCAACTCGCTTCCGGACAGACTGCTTCCCCTCGCGCGCCGTTCAAGAACCTTGTCACTCACGGGTTCACTCTGGACGAGGAGGGACGCAAGATGAGCAAGTCGATCGGCAACGTGATCCAGCCGGATTCGATCATGGACGGAACGCTCTTGCCTCCCCTCAAGCCGAGGAAAGGCAAGGGGAAGAAGCAGGCTGAGAACCAGGCACCGGTCTACGACGCGCTTGGTCCGGATGCTCTGCGGATGTGGGTTGCAAGCAGCGACTACACGCGGGATGTTGTGATTGGCAAGCAAGTTCTCCAGACGGTCAACACCAGTCTGCACAAGTACCGTGTGACGTTCAAGTTGTTGTTGGGTGCCTTGTCCGACTTCCGTCCACAGGATCGTCTCCCTTATGACCAGCTGCAGCAAGTGGATCGCATCGCGTTGAAACATCTCTCCGATACAGTCCTAGCCTGCCAGAAGGCCTGCGAGAACTTTGAATTCTACAAGGCCGTGAATGCCATCAACCGCTGGGCTAACCTTGAGTTTTCTGCATTCTACATGGAAGCTATCAAGGACCGTCTTTACACCTACGCGGAGAACAGCACCAGCAGACGGGCTGCCCAGACGACCTTGTTCCACATCTACCACTACCTCCAAGAGGTGCTTGCCCCGATCACTCCGGTATTGGTCGAGGAGACCTGGGAGCACACGCCCGAGGCCATCAAGACGCACTGCGAGCATCCGCTCAGACGAATCGTTTCCGCGCCCGCCTCTGAATGGCAGAACCAGGCTCTGGAAGCAGACTACCAGGACATCGTGGCCGTGAACTCGGTCGTCAAGGCGATTCAAGAAAAGGCCCGTGGTCAGAAGCAGATGGGCTCTTCCCTGCAATCGTTCGTCCACATTGTTCTTCCTAACGGCGCTACAAGCGAATCAGTCTTCGCGCGTATCCAGTCCGAACTGCCTGATGTGTTTGTTGTCTCGTCGGTCAGCCTCGGGGCGCACGAGGAGCCGATCCCGGAGGACATCCGCAATGCGGAGTGGCAGTATAGTGAGGTGTACGAGCTGCCGAGCGGAGGCACAGGCACCGTATATGTGTATACCCCGCAGGCGAGCAAGTGTCCGCGCTGCTGGCGGTATGTGGTGCCCGAGTCAGAGGCGGCGGAGGAGACGGTGTGTGGGCGGTGCGAGGAGGTGGTGCAGGAGTTGGATGCATCGAGCTGAGTGGTCAGTTCCTTGTTAGCATTTGAATCGTACAAGCTAGTGCTGCATGTATATTATAATAGTAACAATTAGCATAGATCTGGGTTCGGTTCCCTGGCACGCCAGCATTAGCGGCATCTGTAATACATGGTATGATCCCTGCGAAAATCGATCAAGCGACTGTCTTTCCGCTTGGCGGGACGGAACAGCTTGGGGCGTGGTGGAAACATGAAAGTGCGTGGCCTGAGCAATGCCGGCTCAAGACCCCTAGATTATATATTGGGCGAACCGAAATCAATGATACAACTGGCCGAAGTCATTCAGGAGATGACCCAGCTGTTAAGCCCCAGATATTGCCGCGCCAGAGCTATTTCTTATCACAAGGAGACACTGGCTTTAATATATGGCGTGCCCTTGAGGTATTTAGTAGACCAGATAGCAAATTTAGCGCATCCAAGATACTACTATCTGCCTCTCTCATTGCCTGGATGGCGCCATACGATGACCATTCCGGCGCACCAAGTAACAGCCGGTCTTTGTCTACTGAAAAATGTAATATCGGCTAAGGGACGCTAGTCTGTTTGCTGTATAGTTAGTCTATGTGTATGTAGGGGTTTTGCTTGGTGATAGAACCTTGACTAGCGCCGGTCGAGGTGGTTAAATCATCTTCCCAGGCTACACAACTTATCAGCCTTGTATCAACGATCACATCGCACATCGAGGATGGGACTCGACGACCTGCCTGGGGAGCTTATTCTCCAGATTGTTCCCCTTCTAACGAGGCAGGATTATGCGCAACTAGTGCTGGTTTGCAAGGATTGGTACTCCCTGTTTATTCCCCACCTATATCAACATGTCGTGCTTCCCCTGAACGATTATATTGACGCCAAATATGGTGACTTCCGTTGGAGCGAGTATCTCCCTGTGCGTCGATTTACAATAGCTCTGCTTGAGAATCCAACCCTCGCTCCCTTGATCCGCTCCCTGGAGCTTTACCCTAGCTATGGCGAGGAAAAGTGGAAACATCGACCTCCGCTGAAGCCACCTGGGGAAGAAAAATTCCTCCCATTTATGCTGCCCTTCGGAGATGCTAAGCGCAAATATCGCCGCAAATTCCGAGCGTGGCGCCAAGACCTCAAAGATGATCTAGAACGCGAGATTTGGATTAAGGCCCAACGATATGAAGATGCCTGGCTGGCCTTGCTCATGGTGCAAGTCAAGAATCTTGAGAGATTCGTCATTGAATTACCCGGAGAGTGGGATCAGTATTGTATCCTGGAGGATAATATGCTAGTCAAGTGTTCCGTCCACTTTGAACGGGTTATTCATTGGGCAAGTAACCCAAGACTGGGGATTCTAACGCACCTAGAGCACGTCTTGTTGGCCGACGGTCCAAATCTGCTAGAATGGGGGCAAACTGAAAGCGCAATTCCCTTGAAGAGGCTGATCCCTTATCTCCGGATTCCATCGCTGCGAAAGCTTTACGTGCATAATGCGTGTGATCGAACCCAATTTGACATGCCTGGAGACTTGGTCCTCCCATTGACCCATCTGGATCTCCTAGCATCCACTGATGGCCTACCTAATCTCTCTCGTCTGCTGGAAAGGTGCCCAAAGCTACAGTCATTTACCCTCGAATTGGGGGACTGGGGGGATAATCATACGCACGATTACCTGAATCACTCGCACCTATACCAGCCTTTACAACAATGTCAATCTTCGTTGCATCATTTGAATTTAACTTTCCTGAGCGACTTGACTGAGCAGGATGCCGAAAACCCAACGCCTATCTTCTTCGGGAGGTTGACCGCATTTCCTAATCTCCAAACTGTCCATATACGGTGGGGTAACTTGTTGCCCTTTGTCGGGAAAGGGTCCTACAACCCTAGCATCCCTCTTCGGGAGGTGCTTCCACGCTCGCTGCAACATCTCTATATTGATGATTGCTTGATCCAGTCCTCGTTGGCCTTGTGCTGTGAACTCGAAAACCTGGTGGTACACCTTTCGGAGACCGTCCCTGTGCTCAAGACTCTCTATCTTCGGTACGCCGTCAGAGAGCAAGCACCCGGCCAAGGATGTATAAAGTGTACCCTGGGTCATTGGTCCAACTATCGAATGATGGAAGCAGACCCTATCATCGATGCCCATCTACTGGAATTGCAGGGAAGGTTCCGTGCGTCGGGCGTGGAGTTCCGAATCATCGGACCAGGAGCCACGGCGGTGTCTTTCCCTCAGGACGGTGCTATCAGGAAAAAGTGGCCTCGAAGAAAACCGAGGAGAATCATGAGAGCTGGGGTTTAAGCCAGGTGCAAATGGAGACAGCAGAGATGTCTGTGTGTAAAGGGATCGAAGAGTTAAGCAATCATACTAGCATATCAGAGTTAAGAAGACTGTCAAGATCAAAGGGGGGAGTGGTGTGGCCTGAGGATGTGGCAGTAACGGGAATTGTGTGGAAGCTGTGAGATCGCAACATGAAGGCATGATACACGCTAAGATCTACCTTGCTGGACATTGACTATGCATATCACGGGATCGCTTCTATTTGACGCCGTAACTTGAAACTAATCGATGTAAAGTAAGTATTGTGTAAACTAGCTCGTCTGATAGATGATTTGTGGACTTTTTTGGAGATCAAGGAAGTACTATGTTCAACTGGTGACTATACACAAGTGACTACGGAGTAGTAACTGTCTTCTTTGTACCTTCCTTCTTCTTTCTTCTCTCGTTAGGTTAGAAACCTACTTTGTATTTACAATAGTATTATAATGTTCTCGAATGATGAATATATTTATTATCATTAACTTTGACTACATCGTAGGTGGATGAAACCGTACCTTGTAGCTGAGTCATGCCCGAGTTAGGGATGGCGTCATGCCGCGGGGAGGGCAACGTCTCAGTGGAGCTTCCCATCTTCCATTCCATCTTCCCATCTTCCCCATCTTCACCTAAGCGGAGACGCATTCGTATCATGCAACCACTGCTGACTAGCCAGCTTTCCAAGTTCCAGACAAACATGGACACGGCACCAATTCCTCCCCGGTTACACGGTTCCCCCTCAAGCCCGCGGTCGCATCCGCCGTGATTGGTTCTCCGTCGCTCTCAAATCTCAATGACGACAACGTCGAGGTCAGCATGACGCTGGTCGCTGGGGACCGGAGAATCCCAATCGTTGCTCCTCTTTTCTTCACTGGATCATGGTCTGCCTGCATCTCGGCTCTCCCGGTTCCCGTTAAATACCCAGTCGATCCCCCTCATATACGCTCATCTCCCCCGCAATAACCTTTCGCATCGGACTGTCTCTACACCATCATCAGTGTCGATAGTTCTGTCGAAATCCATCAACATGATTGAGTCCTTCATCAAGGCGACTCCAACTCTGCCTTGGCCTGAGCCATCGCCTACCTCCTCGGTGGCGCCCATTCCCACCGTCGTTCCCGGCAGTGATCCCATCTTCCAGGTGCTCCATGACACTGGGAAACGGACACTATGGTAAGACCGTTGTGGATGGAGATGTGAAGTATAGCTAATATGGAGTTACACAGGGTGGTCACCGTGCTCATGGGTATCTCCTCTCTCGTGTTCTACGTTCTAGGTGCTCGGGTTCCTATCGTAAGTTCTCAAGCTATCGTGATGATATTACAAGACAAGCAATTAACCTCAGTCTGGTTAGAATAAACGTGTGTTCCATGTTATTGTTGCTCTCGCCAGCACCATCTCCTTTATTGTCTACCTTGCTCTGGCGACTGGACAAGGCATGGACTGGAAACTCGACATTCTCAAAGAGCACAACAAGCACGTCCCCAACACCACGCAGGAATACTACCGCCAGATCCTCTGGCTCCGCTATGTCCTTTGGTTCTTGACTGAGCCTCTGGGCCTCATCAGCTTGTCGCTGCTCTCCGGTCTGCCTGGAGCTCACCTGCTCATCGCCATCGCGGCCGACTTTATCATGCTGGGCTCGGGAATTTTGGGCACCTATGCCGGCCATTCCTCGCGCAGATGGGTCTGGTTCACTATTAGCGCAATTGGATACCTGACAACGGTCTACCATATCAGTGTCCATGGAAGCCGGGCAGCCAGCAACAAGGACGTTCAGACCAAGCGGTTCTTCGGAACTCTGTCGGGTGTCATGTTGTTTGTCAAGCTCCTGTACCCAGTGTAAGTTCCCTTCAGCTCAAGGTGCGTTTAGCGGTATACTGACTTGGACTAGTGCCCTCGCTGCGGGAGCTTTGGCTCTGAAGATTAACGTTGATGTCGAGACTATCCTCTTCGCCATCTACGATATTTTCTCGCAGGGTATTCTCGGATACTGGCTGCTTATTGCACACGACGGCGCTCCTGGAATGTATGTACCATTGCTCCTTGGCCTGGAACTTAGCATCAAACTAACTGCTATATTAGTACCCTCAATGTTGACGGATTCTGGTCCCACGGTCTGGGTAACGAGGGTGCCATCCGCATCAGCGAAGAAGACGGAGCATAAACAAGCCACCCCGGTTATCAGGTGCCTCAAGATTACATGGGTGGCGCGTCTTCGGTCATACAATGCTTTGGTCCGCCAATCAATGTGCCAGTCGCTACAATGCTTACACACTGACCTTCCTTTCATCATCTCACTACCATACGTACACTCTTTAATGATCACGACATGACATGACATGACACTTTCAGCATCATATGAAGCCAGATGACCCTAATATGCCCCGAATACCACAGTGAAAAAAAAGTTTCGGTTACGCGTGGTGGCATTTATCTACCTGAAGGATAATAATCAACCCTACTTCTTTCTACAGAAACACTGTCTTTTGATTGCACATTGTGTATAGTTGTCTTCCTGTTTCCAGTTAGGACGAAATTGGGCGTTTGGATATTGAGCTGCCTGTCTAACGCACATGTGCTTTTGTATGGTGTAGTTGGTTTACCTTAACTTCTAGTTCAGGAACGTATCTACAAGATCAGAATGTGATAACAAATAAACTTGACTACCGCCCTTAAATATAGACCAGGATAACCCATAACAGTAGTTGCCCTTTGAAACAGAATCTCTTCGTCCAACTTAGTAGGCCTCCTGTACTACCTTGCAACTGCCACTACCATCATCATCCTCGTCATCTGATCAATAAATACAACAGCAGGGATTATTCCTAGATCTGGACCCCTGTCTAGTCCAAACGGGGATTTGCCAAACCACCAAGGTAGTCAGGTAGTCACCTGATCTGTGGCCCTGTTCTGCTAGTCCTGATGAAACACAACTCGCAAGCTGATATTCCATCAACGTAACTACTCTACTAGCTATACTTCCGATAAGAAGGAAGTTGCCAAAATGTTGCACCAATACACTACTATCATAATCGAAGATAAAAAAAACGAGACTATATTTGTCTAACCTCTCATTCTCTACTTTCTCTACATGAATCATGTAAGCAGCCGTACTCGATATCTCGCCATAGTTTCACGTAGAATGCGTGGAATACCAGACAGAGCTTATCTATCCCTCCTGATACAAGCAGAATAATTTATCAAGCATAAAAAACAAAGTTAATCAGTCTGACCATGCAAGGATAGTATAATCTGTGGTACTCGGCCTAGCCAGACCGTCACCGAAATAGCGTCATAAACGCTCCGGGCCATAGATGAACACATTGAACACACTGCTTTCTTTAGTCGCGAGTATGTAGTTCAGCAGATGACGCATCAGAGTTCTTGAATATACGGTTATATGTGGACGTGAATCCGTTGCCATTATCCAGAAGTAGAACAATTTTAGTGACAAGAGCGTCCCTTCATGTTGTACGTGTGTCGACAGAAGATTACCCATTCACGATAACGTCTATCTTTGACTTCGCCCGACAATAAGCCGTCGAACTTCCATAGCGGCTTAGCTTTGCATTGAGTTTGCCTTTGGTATGGTTTTTGGGATAAAATATAACTATTCGGTTTTCAACAGCTTCGAAGGCGTCGATGAACTCAGTAGGTACCTCATATGCCCCGTAGGATATGGAACATACCCCCGAGGTAGTGTTGATAGCTTTATATAGATGTTGTAGCGTTGTAGGATGGTAGTTCTGATAACCTGTATAGAGTCTCTTGGTCTAGTTCCATGCCCATCAACCGCTTATAGGTTGTCGGTAAGATGTAGGGACGTTTATATTATCTCATCTTTGTTGTTTTGATTGTAGTGGTACACCTGTTCCTATTCTTTCTTCAGTCAGGTACCAAACGAGAGCAGCTCTCAGCGGTGTATCAGGTCGTTGGATCTCAGATCTGGGAGAGGATGCAACGTCGAAGGGGTTGAACAACGCCGGCTTGTTTATAACCACACTGACAATGGTTATAGCGTCATGAGGTCAGGAAATGTGGATGTCACTCTGGCTGTGCAGAGCGATGAGACTTCCACCATCGTTTCCTGAGCGAGCTCCAACATATCAAAAGACAAACGACATTCAGCATCGAAAGAAAGGCCAACTTGCCCCCTCGTCCTCTTCCCTGTTGTCAGCTCAAGGACATTATCGTTACCCTCCCCACCCGATTGTTTCAAGTCCAGGTATATCCCATTTGGGTTTAAACCGGTGCCACACTAGGCCGCCGGTGTCGAGTTCTATAGCGTGGCCATCCCCTCACTCAGTGATACTTTTCGTCTGGTGTCTCTCCCTGGTCCTGCTGTAGAAGCCTTTCGCAGATAGTTGTTTCCTTCGAACCATCAGAAAAGTTAGGGCTATGTTTTGCGCATCGAGCACGCTGAGAAGAAGAGCTCGAGCTAGGCTTGAAGGATTGCCATTTAGGAAACGAAGAGTTGGTCTGATTGACTAGAAAGAGCGGGAAACTCTTGTAGTCACTGAAGGATAAGTTCAATGATTGTGACGCAAACTGCAGTTCTCCAATCAGTCAATTTGCCGTTCTGGAAGTCCACAGTCAAAGACGAGGCAGCGACGGCTATCTCGAAGTCAGCGGGAGAAAAACACAAACTTATTGGTTTCCATCCCAGCTCTCTTCATCTTCCCTGGGGTCTCCAAATAAAGCCAGCACCTGTCCAGGACTGTCGAAAATCAACACTATGCGTTGATGACGACGACGCTGCAGGAAAGAAAGGGCATTTCATTGTTCTGTTTCTCTTCAGTGTAAAGTCTCTCAGCAAATTTGAGCAGCCCACGTCCGCGCACATCAATACGAATGCTAGCTAGGGAAGACATTACAGGTCACGTCTGGCGCAAGAAATGAACTTCTAATGTCTTTTTTCGGGACGCACAATAGTCACTTTGCGTCCGCTCCGTATAGGGTGTCTTTGGGTGCTGCTTTTATCACCAATTTCGTAAATAAGTTTTTGTCTCAGTTTCGGGTACGCAGTGGGTGGTATAAAACCCGAATCGGCATATGAACGATCTTGTTATTCTGATATCCATGTTGTACCTACAACGACAGGCTTTCACTTCTGCAGCACCGTGTTAGGCATTCCTGTTGGTGCTTTTGATAGTATGTAAGTAGACACACCTTCGGGTCTATGCCCTTATCGATCATGTATCCATAAGGAACGACTATCTGCTCGTCCTTTATCGGAGGATTCCAGTCTTCTGGTACCAGATGCTACTCGTTATCCCAGGTCTTGAAACAACAGACCATGCCGCTAGTCCATTTCTCCAGGCCCGTGTAGTGGTAGAGATCATAAAAAGCTCCGGGTTTCAGAGAGTGAAGCCTCATTCGGGACATTCAGGACACGTTCACAATATGCAGATTTGGGCATGTGTAATTGCCTTTCGGGTGCTCCACCATGAAGACAGGGCATTGGACGGATACCTTGTGCGTTGAGGTACCCTGATATCGAGTACCTTGCGATACCCCTTGGGATACATGGACGATTTGAAATCGCCAAATTTACATCGATCAACCGGGAGCGAAAGACACCGACTTCCCCATAGCCTGTCCAATGTGCTGGATAAGTATCTGTAAGACACAGTATTCTCCCTGTACATCCATAACGGTCTCTTTGGGCAGGCCATATGTTCAAAGGCCCAGGGTACTTGATATTGTGGATGGCACTGCTATTGGTAATGCGTATGTCCGTAGCCATGCCGCGTCCTCAGTAAATTTAGCGCCCTAAACGCACGCAGTTTTCTTTTCCTGCAAAGCTGAATGCTTTGAAAATTCCCTCTTCTGTCGGGCCTACAGTACATTAGTATATGGGGCAAGCGCTGAACGGAATACTCGAAACCGACAATTGCATGTAATTATGCACTTCTCGATCACTCGAGTACCACTGAACAAATGGGCATGGATATGGAACTTCCGAGTTCACCCTATCACCCAAGTGATCAGTCTGCGGATCGTGAGGCATGCTCTTTGCGTCGGATCCCACGCGCGCAGGAAGGATATTGAGCATGACTTCTGTCATTCTGCTCATACCAACGTTTCCACGGTGGCTGTCGATGGTAAATCCCATGTCCGAAAAAGCATTTGCGGAAGTGATCACCCAGTCATTTATAATGACTTTCGACTCCTTGCCTTGCATTAAATCCGTAGTCGAAACTTTCGGGAGCTCTGCCTTTGAGAGACCGCCTCGCTTGGAGAGCGCGAATAGGGTCTGCCGATAACGTACTACCTGTGCCATGTAAGGAGTGACAATTGTCACATCCTTTCCGCTGTAACCGCCATTTTATTTCGACAGTTCTCAAGGATCAATCGCAAAACCCACAGCCTATTTCCGTCGTTATGATGGGATTCGTTCCTCCGGAACGAGGCATATAATAAAGTGCCGAGATCTCCTTGCATCTCGTCCTCGGCAAGTTCTTCGGAGAACGGACGACTCTCTTAATACTATATTAGGGTATCGATAATCTTCGGTCTGTTGGATCCAGTTATTCCAGCGGCCAGCGGAAGGCATCAGGTGTGGGATCTCCTCCACGAAAGTGAAGGTTACCCTGTTCTCGCTTAGGGAAGAAATTTCCAGTTCGGTTCAGTGTCTACCATTATCCAAGCACGATGGAGGTTGACTTGCCTCCTATATTCCAATATGGAGGCTCCGGATCCTCCGAAAGACACTGTTCCACATTCAGTCAAAGATGATAACTGTTATTTCTGTGACCGCCTCATTCTTCGCTGTCATTTCCTCGAACAAGTCCCTATCTGAAAAAATTATATGGGCTTTTACTTTCCTTGGCCATGACACATGTTCCAAACACCTGGTTGCGAGGTTGAAGCCGACCAAGTCAAGTCACGAGGATAGCCTCGCGTAGTTGTGTCGAGTTCCGGACTGGACTGTTCATTGGATTAGACCAAGTATCGATCGCGCGACCAAGACGCAGCAGCGCTATCCAGCGCCGTTCACGGCCCGACAGCCACTATAACCCTGACCGGGGGATTTATAATGGTTGGACAACGCTTGTACTCGATAACGTCGAACGTGATCGCCAGGTAGGACGAGGCAACAGGAAAGCTGTTAGACAACACCGCGGGAGGCGTCGCGGCAGACGTAGTGGAAGAGACAGGACAAGAAAAAGACGCGTAGCAGACGATTCACCAGTGTAGTTCTTAGGAGAGCGACAAAACAGACATGTAGAGGCCGGTGCAGAACCGAGGAATCACCCATGCCACGAGCTCTGCTATTCCAGGAATATACCCTTCGGTCCCCGGACTTACTACTACGGGAGTAGTATCCAAATTGTCCAGAGCCTTTGGAATATTAGGAACGACCACCGACAGTCCTTGCGTATTGTTGCACCATTTCAACCACCTGCCCTAAGCGATGTTGGCATACTATCCAGACCCTATGTGGCCCGGAAGATGAACTTGGTAGTCACTGCCTGTGCTCACTGATCGGTCGTAATATAGAGATGTTATCTGCAGGCCATGACTGTCAGGTTTGCTCTCGTGGTGCAGTCGATAGCGGCATTATGGCGGTTCATCAATTTCTCGATTGTATTCTTCCGCCGTCGGCTGTCATATGTATGACTGGGAGTTGGATCTTCTGCGAGCCCTGTACCTTGCGTACCCGGGGGCAGAGGTTATGCTTGATTCTTATAGTGCTGGGCAGTAAATATTGAATCTCTCTGTATATGAGGAACCTGTCACCCGTATAGGTTCTATATCCCTATCAGGGATGACAACCGCGGGGGCTAAGCTAGGTATAGTGACTCTTTTCTGACGGCATCTGGGACAGAACCCAGTGCCGGTCCTAGCGAAAGCATTCATGACCACTTGCAGTGTCGGTTGGGAGGAGTGCCAGAAGCATTTAGAATCTCTTTAGTCTGCAGACGCGTGTTCATAGGGATCGGCCCGTGGATGACTCCCGAAACTGTCAAAGACTTGGCGATAGCTTCATCTACCCCTAGCAGCTTCATACCTTTGGCGAGGCTGGACTTGGCGAAGTCCCCTCGGACGACTTGGATAGTACCCCAAATTAACATCTGCCTCTGTTCGGTAAGAAATCCTAGTCCTCGTTTTGCTTTCTGACTAGATTGTTTTAGCTCTGTTCGAGGTTTGCTTTCTGGAGATAGGTGGGTATCAAATGCTATACTCCTTGATGCAAACCACACGCCGTGCTTGGAACATCGTAGTAGTAAAGCCGACAGTGGCTATTGTATCTCTTCCGCAGGCGAGGAGATTGATAACATCGCCACTCCGTGTACATCCGGAAAGGAGCGATAGTCGCAAGACTTTTGCAATATCACGGCCTATCGGTCGTTGAGGATGAGACTGTCAATCACAGGAGACGATGGTTGCCGATGATTTAATGCTGTATGAAACGAGCCTTAGGCAATTTCCAGCTCGCTTTTGAATGTTGGTGTATTGATTGCCGTGTTAATTGTCAGTTAATTAAACGAATTCGTTTGAAAAGCGGCCTCCGCGGTAGTAGGGCTGTATCCATTGGCGCAGTGTATTCTTATGCAGCCTGCTATTGGCCCCTTATACCTCCTTCGTATGCGTAGTATAAAATGGCTGAATGCCCCGGGCCAATTTCAGAATTGCCATGTGTGCTTATAGGTGGAGGACCACAATCAACCTCGCAGGAAAAGACTCGTATCTTGGTATATTGCGTTCATCACGCTACTGCAAGTCTCAAGTACTTAGCAAGAGCGTGTCGAATGGGAGAGTTCTCTCCATATTAAGCTTCTTCACTGGAGACTAGGAGCCATGATCCACTATAACGGTTGCTCCTTAGATGAAGACATGTTCATTTGCTTCACAATGAGAATTTGGTACATATCTCATCGCAGTAGGCGACCAAATCCTCCTGCTGTTTTTCGCCGGGTCCCAGGCCCAGTGTATCCTGACACAGAATGCACGTCTGAAGGATTTTCAAAGCCTTGGGATGCTGATACCAAAAAAAGATATATGATGAAGCTGCCGGATTTTTTAGGAGGGTTGCGATAAACCGAGTAGAGGACACCACCAGCAAGACCAGCAATGGCTTTGGCTCTGACTGCCTCAAAGAATTCCGGTCTGTCCATAAGAGAGAGAACGCGGACAGGGGCCCAGTAACATTCATCCTTGAATTTCCTGGCCCCATTTCTAGACGGATATACTGAGATTGCAAATAGAGGTAACTTGTTAAAACTTCGAGACCACGAACGAGGTAGCATTGGCCGTGGCCATGCCCACGGCGCCTGCAGGCGCGACAAACATTTCTCTTGCGCTGCATACATAGTTCCCTTAATAACTTGTACAGCCTATAATAACAATGATTAATAGCTTTGATACATACGATTCCTTGTCCTCTTCCTCCTCGGCCACTAGGGCCCACAAGCTGCTTCATTCTCAAGGGAAAAGAAGAAAAGAAACATGTAACGGGTATGGGTGCCTGGTTTCTCGCACGTGAAATAGTAGAGACTTGCTGAGAGCCTGCTGACATTGATGCTGTTGGGATCCTTCTGGCTCGGTCAATAGGCCACGGCACATCAAGCATCAAAGCACATTCTTTCCATGCCTTGATTGTCACGGCCCAAGTATCTCCAACGACCTTGTTGGATAGAGTCAGCATATCTTGTGTATTATAGAGGTCAACTCTGCGTTTGTGTTGTTTGGCATGGTATGCAAAAGATATCCCTTCCTCGAATGTCAATGGCGGTTCATCCACTGTCCAAAGAGCACCGTTTGGACTACCGCGATGTGGTAAACAGAGTTAGCTCAAGTGCTTGAGCAAAATGCTCTTCCGGTGGGTGAGTCCCTTCCTAGCTACTGTGCAGCTGAAATGTTGTGCATGTCAGTTAAAAGAACATGCGGAGACAGGAGCCAGAATGAAGCCTGCTGTTTCTCATTTGCGACAGCCCTCAGTTTGGTACGTCAAGAGGACGTGGAAGAAATGACCGACGGCACGCCGGTAGTCCGCTTCATAGGCCCTGCGGGAGGTTATTGGAACTCCCGCTTGTACTCCCTAGTGGAGTGTGAACAGCAAATTTATTCCGATGGTTCGGTAGTCTCCCCAATGTCGCAGTTGGCAGCCATGAGCCGGTCGAGTACATCTTGAATTCCTGTTCGTCTTTGACATTCTTAATCTTGAGCCTCTAGGACCCATCTTCAAGTTTGAGTGTATCCGATTGGCAATGCCGTGGAGTACTAAACTGATGGTATCGATGTAACCCCAATCACAGTGACACCGAGCTTGCAGCAGAGAGGATTTACTATGAGTAGAGGTCAGTATCGGAGAAAACTGTATGATCAGAGACTGCGGGTTTCTGTAAAGCCAAAGAAAATACTCACAAGTAGACTGCCGTATTTTCCAACAGTCATTCCGTGGCCCTAGGACCACACCAGAATTAATTTCTGGCGACGACTTCGAAACTGTCAGACAGATCCACAGCAAGTGACAGATTTCCCCAGCCGCCGGTCCTATTTGATGACTTTCTTGTTTCCAAACGTGCTGTTTATTTCTGTAGCACTCTCATTATCGATATAATCGAAGATTTCTGGAACGAGTTTCACACGTTGAAGTGTCGTCGCGCCGTATCTATGTCATATATAGATCTGCCCCAAACACAAGGGCAACAAGAGCAATGCTCAGAGTATCTGAAACCAGGAAGGCATACTGTGACAAGATCCCTTCCCAATGCTTGCCATGCAGTTTCAGGGCTCATGGAGCCGAATATTCTACCAAAGAGGGACATCGGTAAGGCTTCTGTACGTAGGCCGAAATGGTAGCATGTATCGGACACACAGCCTAATCCGTACGATCTTTCGTATATGTTGCATTCGTAACAACATCTCTCCATGGTTGGAAGATAGAGAAATGGCCCAAAGTTTTGGCATGTTCGGCACCAGGGCTGGCAGAATTCATTGAAGATCTGCCCAATGGTACGGTATGGAGAGACGCACATCTGGTGCATTAGATGGAGTATGTCGTATGCACAGTCTCTTAGCAAGGAGTATTCGAGGACGTATTCAACCCGAAAATTGGTGTTGCTGGTAACTAGGGTTCCGCAAAGGTTTGGGGAACCAATTCCCGACTTCTGTTGGGGTCACTAACCGCTGCCAGTGTGATTGCCGGTTGATTCATCCGCTGGGTCGAACGGTTTCAGCATGTCCATCGATCTTCAGTACATGATTGTCCATTTCGTGGCAAAAGACAAGTTTGGGTTCAATTTTTGGGTGTCAATTATACAGTTTGTTTCCGTGTTGCGGTATGGACAGTAGATACCGGCATATGTCGTGCCTGAGAAATTGCTAGTCGTAATGATGGTGACGGTGGTAAAAGAGTATACAGCAACGGGTATATCACTCAGTATAGTGTTGAACATAGTACCGGTAAGAAGTAGGGCAAGAAAAAAATGTAATCAGAGTACTGGACGGAAAGAGTTGGACTTAAGACTTTGTTGAGGACCCAAGCTGCATGTTCTTAGGATTAATTAGCATCGCATAGTTTCTATGGTATTCGTAGACCCCAGATTTAAGTCCTGTGTCTTGAATAGCTTTTCCCAGTGCTCTCAGTCTCTGTCTGCAGATAGTCTTGCCAGTCAGCTTATACTTCCTGGCGAAACTGTCTGCACTCGCCGATAGATTGCTGAAGTCGGCATTAGCCTTCATGGATCTCGATCCCAGGTTCGATAAAGCTGTACTGGGATATTGTATTTGCCGCCCAGCCCGTCAGAGGCTTCGAGCTCTCTTCGAATAGAAAGAGCAATTCTCGGCTGTCGTAGTGTCCGTCGCCACTCTTCTGGAGGAAGGCAATTGCTAGACGGCATGTTACCTCCCTGATAGCTGGATTCTTTGCCAGCATGGCTTGGTGAGGTAACAATAATGGACTATTGTATGTATATGCCATTGCACTTCCTCGATTGGCTCGATTGGGTGCAGGGAAATCAGCATCAGGTATCGCCATGCATATACAAATGTGGGTTCCCTTCGACTCGCATGCCCAACAGGGCTCCTAGAACATATGAAGGGTGAGGTCGGTGCGGAGTAGCGCGGTCTGTAGGGCCCAGCGCATTCAGTTGTCCCAGCAGTTCCATGTGAGACTCTCGTGCCATGGCATGAAGGAGTGGATCATTGTCCGTGGGCAAAATCATTTGATGGCAACTATATTCAAGAGGCGCGGTTCGTAAGCCGCTCGGCTGATAATCTTTTGATTATCTCGTGGTTGCCGTGGAACTGTTTGGTCGATCTATGTCCACAGTGAGTCTGATGGTTTGATATATCTGGCTTTGATATCGACATGTGGAGATACTATCTCGAAGAGAATGTATCTTACAGTCTGTAGTTCTGATGACGATCGTGCGTCATCGCATATAACAGGTGGCTATCGTAGTAGATGTCATAGGTTGTTCGGTATAGGAGACATCTCGGTGATCTTGTTGGCTAGTAATATAAAGATTTCCTTCTTGAAAAAAAAAATATTATAAAGAAGATAGATAGAGAAGAATGTAAGAAGAAGGAAAGATCTAGCAGGAAAACTCCCGTCCTTTTATAGCCATGGAGGATGGGAAGATACAGTGAAATCTACGGAATGTGCCGTGAATCCCACAGCGTTTTGGATATGAATGAGGACGAATTGTAGGTAATAGGACACAGGTAATCGAAATAAATTCCCAGCTAGCCCTATACAATTCCATATTATATTCCAAATACCCCCTACAAATTCAACGCTGCAGTAAAGGCGACATGTGAATTTTCTGCTGTCGGGTGAGTATGTGGCGGATTGGGTGAATCTGGGATTACCTAAATTGATGAAGCACGGGGGAGCCTTGTCTCTGTTATTTCAAATCAAGAAACTGATGCTTGTTCATCTACAATGTTTCGAGTTGAGAGCTTTGATTGCTCTAGGATAAACTTGGTACTGTGGTCTAGCACAGTGATCGTCTTCCAAGACTGGACGAGTGTTGATTAGTAGCTCCAGTATTTACAAAAGCCATGCTTACATGCAAGATGCACTATGTTTCTATGGTAATTACTCGTATAATGAGGAAATGCAGCTTCTAGATCGCTTGTTCCGGTGGAACACAAACATCGAAGGCTTTCTACAGAGCGGTTAAGAGGTCCACATCTTATCATGTAGGTGTAGCTCGATTTGTCTGTTAGTCGGATATTGTTTGCTAATATCATATCCATAGTTGAGACAGATTTTCGTTTTGCGCGGATAGTTCTACTTCCTAAACATGCTATATACGTGGCAAGGGCACCTCTCAGTGAATGATTGACTATTATTGATAGTCTCATCTAAGTTCTAAACACACCACACACATACCACAAAAAGAGAGAGAGAGAGAGAGAGAGCAAGCGAGAGCGAGCGGACAAATATCTAATCCAAGTGCCCTGCATAAAATGGAAATATCACATCAAGCCTTGGCCAATTCTTGCATGCAAGAAACAATCCACTTGCGGTTCTCTTCCATCATCCACCTGCAGAGCGTCTGTAAACCATGCCGTGCCGCATAGAACTCTTCCTTCTCTTCGAAGCGCCACCTTTTAATAAGAAAGTGCTCGTAAGCAACGTTCGGATCTCCTGGGTCGCCGTTCGTCCAGTGTCCGAATACGTTCACATCGTTGCGACTGATCGTAGCCGTAAGTACTCGTACCTTCCCGTCGAACTTGTCGGCTTCGTCGTTTTTTCCGTAGGCCTTTTGGTAGAAGTATCCCAGACCTCTGAGCATTAAGGCGGCCAAGTGGAGGTTCCGGGAAGGGCCTTGCTCTGCGTCGCTTCTCATCTCGATCGAAAAGAAGGGAAAAGCAAAATGTGTATCCAGGACTATAGGGAACGCGAACCTGAGACTGTCTGGCACCTCATCGAAAGCAAGTTTATAATCTCCACGTATCGATTTCCAGTTATAGCCAACGACAATGTCGGGGTCTGATACATTGAGAGGTCGTAGCATTGTCTTTTGCGGTTTAAGAGGCTCGGTTTCGAGATGCATTGATACGTGATACTTCAACTCCGGCATATCAATGAGCCATTCAGTGACGAAGAATGGCATAGAAAGTCTAAGTGTAGCCAGACCGACAGCACGAATCCTATTCAGGTATGCATGTCTGAGAGAATTTTCGACTTCTGTAGGTGCTGTCAACGTAGAGGGTAACTCGTAGTCTGGGTTGCGTTCCCCATATGACGGAGGAATCTCCCCCTCGATGTTGATTTTGCGGGATATGAGGGCTTCTCTGTATGCAAGTCCATCTGCATAAGTGAGGTTCCTCGATTTGGTGGCGGTGGCGGTCACTGGGCGATCCATATCCGTGAATGGAAACGAAGGAGAAGACGAAGGGATTGTGATGTCAGTTTCAGGCCAGTGAGCGGGATTGATGTTATTGATATAGTCTAAGATGCGTTGTTTGTGATAACTCTCTGAAATATGACTAGATTCCAGCTGGTGGAGAGGGGACGCGGGTCTTAAAGCATGCATATTAGCTTGCAAGGACTAAAAAGAGAAGGAGCAGGCACAAAAGTGGAAAGTGTCATGAGAACGGCAACCTTTTGAGGGACCTTTCGCCACTTGGATAAGCCATCGCTATTATGATTAATAGCGAATTATGGCACTAGCATTCATGTAGTCCCATGTTGAGATCTGTCGAGGGACACCGTAGGTCAACAACTTAGGACAGGTTGTACGAGTGTTGCGCAATGGGGGAGATGATAGAATGGTTTGGTGTAGAAGAGTGGGTACCTTATGTTTGCAAGGCAAGAGACAATCAAAGCTTGAAGACCACGAACTCATCGAGTGGTTGTAAGATGGAGATAATCAGCGCTTGAAGACCGCGAACTTATCGAGCGGTTGTTACAGAAGTTGTTGGAGAATCATGCACCTCATAAAGAAGATAGATGATGTGTGACTAGAGCGGAATGAAGTTTCTGGCCACAGCTCTTGTGAAATGGTGAGAGGTATATGAGGTAAGTACGAGTGTGGGTGTCATCTGATTACTCGTTTAGTACGTGATACATACATACAACCCGCCTTCCTTCCTCTTTCAGGCAACCATACAGTAGTACTAGTAGTATCAAAATGTTTGTTCAGCCTCCCAGAATGACTGCTCGCATATACCTTATTCCCAGATGAGAAGTTCAAAGGTGATTTGGTAAACCGATCCAATGGTAAATAATCATGCCGTTATAGAACACTATCATGTACATCTCTCCTAGTTCCGCCTCCGTCTGTTGAACTACCAGCAGAAAGTGCTGTAGTAATTCGTCCATGGCCAGCAAGAGGTTTCAGCAAAAAAGTCAAAAGGAAGACGGATATATCTGCACCGGATGGGGATTGAACCCACGACCTTCGCATACCACCAATACGAGTGCGACGCTCTACCACTGAGCCACCGGTGCCGTCTTAGTAAGCACGGTGGCAAATTGGTTTTCATCAGCCTATCCTTACCACCATCTGTTATTGGCAGGGAACTATAACTTGTGGATGTGTACTTGGTACATGTTATCTATGTGCAGAAGGAAAAGGAATTGGAGCATCACTCGTTATCATATTATCTCTCCCTAGGCTAATCCTAATACATTTTTTGACACATTATTCGTTGGCTGGTGATAATCGCATCCCATATAGTGGTGATGCTTCTCGCTAGAATGGGAAGCCATTCAGACGTTAAAAGTCATGAACATAAAGAACATCAATCTGGATCATTAATCGAATATCATCTCAATCATAACTCATCCCTCATCGAAGTCTCGAGTAAGTACCAGATAATCAATCAAGTCACTATTCTGCAAATCGTCAACAAACCAGCCACACACTAAAACCAGAAAAGACCAAGGTAAACTCACTAAGCGACTCCGGACCGGTATACTTCTTCTCACTGATCTTCTTACCACCCTTCAATTCAATAACCTTCAGCTCAGACGACAAATTAACCCGTCTGGCAGTACTCACCTTCTCCTGCATCTGGCACGGAAAATCCACCTCCACCTTCTTCATGGGCTTGCAGAGCCAGAAGCCGGCGTCCACGCAGTAATCCTTGAAATGGATTCTCTGCAGTCTCTTGGCGTCAAACCAATGCAGGAACGGGTCCGCGTCGACGATGAATCCAAAGAGAGTCAGTGTGCGGATGGATAGCTTCTGGCGAGTGCGGCCCACAGACATGGCACGCACTTTGGCCTTCTCGATGACCATCTTGTCGAGATATTCGGCTTGGCCCAGGTTGTGGTCGAGTGCGCCGGTGCCGTCGCCGCTGGTGATGGGTCTGCTGTTAGTAACTAAGAGAGATGAGAGGTGACTGGGATTCTTACAAGTAAACTGGTTCTGCATAGTGAGCCTTGTTGAGCTTCCAGCCTCCCTTAATGAAGGGCCAATCGCCAGTCTTGCTCTTGCGGATACGGGGATGCAAGGCCATGCCAAGCTCCAGTTCCTCAAGGTCAATGTTCAACCAGGCAGCCTGCCAGATATATTTCTGGTATGACTGCATCATGCCAATGATCTTCAGACTGCGAAGGTTGCGAAATAGACAAAGAGGAGACATCTGCTCAAGATCAAGCATGACGAGTGCCGGCTCGGTGTTGCTGTCGGTTTTATTGTCAATGTCGCTGATATTCTCCTTATTGTCCAATTCCTGAGGCCAGAACACGTCGAGTCCGAGCGAGTGACGGTCATCAGTAAGACGCTCCCAGGTCTCGCCGCCGCGGAACTCCAAGAGAGGGTTCTCCGGGGTAGCTTCGTCTGCAGATAGGAGCTGGACTGATTCCACCTCGGTCTCATCTTCAGACTCCTCCCGCATCAAGTTAGCCATTCTATAAAGGGCGGAGCGGATGAGCGAGCTCGAACGGCTGGACGCGACGCTGGATCCTCGGACTTGGGATTGGGAGTGCGTGCGAGATTGCGAACGAGGGCGTCTGGAGAGTTCAGCGACACGAGCTGTTGCTAGGGGAGTGCCAGTGAATGCCGCATCGTTCATACTGAATCGACGGCTTCTGCGTTTATCTGTGCCGGCGCTGCTGGCAGCAGGGGCATGGGAGTTTCGCTCATGTTCTTGGTTGAATGGGAATCTTTCGTGCAGAGGCTTGTCTTGGTCTAGAAAGAGTATCAGTTAGAGGGTGAGGGGATACAGACTGTAGAGAGAGAGAAGAGGAGAGTTTCAACACTCACCTGCTTCGATGCGGTCGTGAATGGGCTGGTTGTAAGCTTCAGCGTCTTTTTAGAACTCCTCTCCGAGGAGAGTAGCCTTCCAGTGATCTGGGTAGTTCTCCATCTTGGGTCTGTTGGTGTCCACCAACGGTGGAGATGTGATGGAGAAGACCTCAGTTGAACAGATGGTTACTGCGCCGAGAAGCGCCGAGCAAGATCAGGTGAGGAATGGTGAAAGTAGGGAAAGTGAGAAAGCAACGGTGAGAAGCGGACGAACACATATTGCTGCAGCCAGGAAGGCATTCACTGATGCTGAGAGTGGAGTATCTCGGCGTGTGTGCACAAGTAAACAGCCTTTCTTTGGTGCCGGACAGACAAACCCGCCTCAAACACACCAGCTCCAAATAGAAGATTAACAAAGCACCTACATCACAAAGACTTTCACCGAGCACTAAGCTTGTGGTTACTCCATTGTCAGTTGCTACATTCTTTATATACATCCTACTCTGTCTGGCTTTGTTTTGGCTATTTGGGCATTCATTAGTGTCATCCTGCTTTATGCCAGCCAATCCGCCATCACGCATCAGCTTCTCCAAGAACTCATCTCCTTCGGAAAAGCAGCGGTACTTCCTCCCTCATAGCCAGGGTAATAATCGCGGTGCTTCTATTCAATACTCTTTCAGCATTCAGTCTGCCCTTTTCACTGCTGTCGGCCAACTCAATTCGGTACTGTTGGAGGACTGTCGTAAGCGCAGCGACGAATTCGACCTGCGAGAACTTCTTCCCCAAGCAAGCGCGGAACCCGTCGCTGAAAGGAATATAGGCACCTCGAACTGGCTTATGGATAGTCGGATATTCCAACCCAGGGCCAGCAAGTCCAGGTAAATCGGCATTTCCTGCCAAGAAACTGTCCTTATTGCGCGCATCCCACCTCTGCGGTCGATAGAGGGTGGCATCGTCCCCCCAGTATTCTTCAGAATAGTGAAGGCTGCCCGGATTCAAGTTGATGTCGATATCGGGTTCCAAAACATAGTCTTTACCTTCGTAGTGGATGACGCTCGGGGAGTCCCCTGTACATTTTGGTATGGTGATGACCGGAGGGTAGAGGCGCATCGTCTCGAGCTAAATCGCAGTTAGCTTACCACCAGCTACACCGAAGGGGATCTTCAGCGTACCATCACGCAAAGAGGGGTGACAAGCTTGGGGAAAACTTCATCATAGTTCCAGTCCCCAATACTCGGCGGTTCATCTTTGACAGCCTCGGATATGCCGTTATATACCCAATCTTGTACATTTTGATGCAGGGCAAGCAGTACAAATGCAAACCTCAGAGTTGTTGCTGTCGTTTCATGCCCAGCAATGGTAAATAAATGCATGTTGCTGATGATTTCTCGGTCGGAAAGACCTGCGTCCTTGCTATCTCCAGGCTTCCTGGAGATTAACATGCCCTCAATAAGATTCGAGGGGCTTTCTTGTCCGCTTAATCTGGACTCCGTGGTAGTAATCAATCTCTGTAGATACTTGTCTAGATCTCGGTGAGCTGCGAAGTCCTTCTTGAAGAATGGAACCAACACTCTCGGAATCCACTTAGGTAACATATTGTTCGCCAGCGCCATGGTGGGGATGTTCACATTCATGTAAGCCACTACTGCTCCGAACGTGAAGTCGAAACCTGCTGGTGGGGTGGGACTGTCCCTGAAAATGTCCTCCTTGTTCTTGAGCGAGTCCTGGGGTAGTGGCTTAAAGGGCGCTTTTACTCCAAACCCAGCGCCAGACAGCACGTTCAGAGTGAGCTTGTGGATGTCGTCTCTAGTACTTTCCGCCGTGAATCCCGATCCACGAGTTGAATCTAGCGGAGAAGCTTCCGCCCATTGCTCGATCATATCCTGCGTTTGTTGAATAGACTCCTCCCATACCAGGGCGTTATTCTTCTCATGGAACGTTGTTGCTGTGTATCGACGGTGGTGAGACCATTCTTTGTCCTCACACTAGACAAGTCAGTCCAGGACCTCACTTGGTATTTTCGAAACGATGAACTCACCGTGACAACATTAGGCCCATACATATCCAGGATGCCTACGATAGCATTAGCATTCGAACTTGTACAACTGACAATTGTTGAGGAGACCCACTATATAGCCTGACTGGCTTCGGAAAGTCCTGTCGTGCGTTGACGATCTGAGAGACCACAGAGGCATCCGCGACGCTCAAGAAAACGCCGCCAGAATTGACTAGCATGTAAAGCTTCCCGTACCTTTTCACTTGGCGATCCCTAACCATCCAGCGATAGGTGCCAACATTATCGTACAGGATATCCCCAATCCATCGGGGAAGACAATATTCTGCAAGCAACGGGAGAAGCCAGCCGAACAAGATCATAAATATGATGCTGACATTATACGGGGGCACGACATAAGGAAGCTTGGAGCGCTGTGCTTTGCGAATATTCTTGGCGAGGTTCCAGATGTAATCAAAAACAAGCAGGCCTATGAAGCCTAAGACGAGTGTGTACGCGATCATCGCACTGGGAAGCCCAAGCTCGGGCGGGTACTCGCGTCAGGAGAACTTTACTTTGCAGGAACGAAGGAATCCTTGAAATAATAAATAAACATCGGCTCAGCGACCGCTGATTCCCTTCAAATCCTGTCGGATTATTGTTTCCCCCTTTGATAAGTGCCAGGCTGTCAGCGGCGCGGCGCAGCTGACATGTGCTAACTTGAGTCGCACTGGCTTAGAGTTTATTAAATGAGTGGTCCGTAATACTCCCCGACGCTTAGTGAGATAGAAAGGGGAAGTGGAGGAGAAAAGGGATACCAGCCCGAAGGTGGTTGATTGATGGTGGTACCAACAAGGGCAAAAGGATCGTGACTTGTCCATTGATCCAATAACTCGATGGATCTCGCACTATCTTCGATCGGCAGCTGAAGGCATGGTTGCGGGACGCACGGGAGGTGGATCATGCGCCACGGGTTCTGCAATCTGCTCTTGTTTTATTCGACAGCATCAAGCGAATGAACATCAACTTATTGTGATTTGCACAAATTGCGACGGACTCGGGTGCATAAAACGACAAGGTACGGGGAATGTCGGCTGGATGCCGTCGACATTGTTGATGGCTGGGGCGTGGCAGATAAGCAAGCAGTGGGTTTAGGCGGAGCCGTATGCGAAATCTGGAACATATCCAGGCACAACTTCTCCACTACATTGTCTGATAGACGAGAAAAAGTTGAGATTAAACAACTACGTCATTACGAGGGATCTGGAAATATGGGAAGGTCTAGAGAGCAGCCACTGTTCGTCAAATCGAGCACTACGTCGCGTGGATCTCTGATTGAAGGCCTAGCCCATCCGACTATCTCCGGACCGTGTGCAGGCATTGCAATGCAGGAACCCGTCAGCCACCCATTTCAAATACCGTCGGCTTGCCGAGAGAGAGCTTGGATCGACATCACGTTGTTTTTCCTTGTTCACTGTTCCCGTGTTCATTACATCCATGAATACCGTATATAGCGTAGCATAGCGCGAAAAGTCAGGATTTGCCGGTACTGCCGATCCTACAACCGAAGAGACTTTTGAAAACCCGTAGGAAAATAGTTCGATTCAAAAACAATCATGCAAGGTTATTCCCATCATAGCACTATCCTAGTACTTCTTGCCCTGACGCAGGACATCACCGAACTCCTCCAGAGGGCTGCGGATGAGCTTAGTCTCCTTCCAGAGGTTGGGGGTGAGGAAGCCGTAGGTGTTGACGACGGCAAGGAAAGTAGCCTTGAGGGTGTTCTCGAGGGTCTTGGTGGAACCGGAAGAGCAGGTGTAGGCATCCTGGACACCGGCAAGCTGGAGCAGACGCTTGACAGCGGGGGAGGCAACGAGACCGGTACCACGGGGAGCGGGGATAAGCTATAACCGGGTTAGCATATTGGCCGAACGGAGAAGCGAGATCGAATATCGAGAATGAGTCGCAACATACTCTGACGGAGACGGAACCACACTTGGCGCTCTGCTTAACGGGCAGAGAGTGAGGCTCACCAAGGTTGGTACCCCAGTAACCTCTACGGACGGGGAGAACGCTGAGCTTGGCGATGGTGATGGCGGCACGGATAGCGGTAGCGACTTCCTTGGAGGTCTTGATACCGAGACCGATGTGACCCTCGGAGTCACCGATGACAACGACGGCCTTGAAGCGGGTACGCTGACCGGCACGGGTCTGCTTCTGGACGGGTTTGATCTAAATTTTCCAACCGTCAGCACCTCCCATTTTTTCGATATATCCTTTTTGACCCCATCATGTCTGCAATTCCGATCCACGTAAAAATTCCACCGGCGCATTCAATCCTATTTCCCGCGCACAATCGTAGATCTTCCTTGTCGACAAATCGGTAATCGGGCGATCGGTTCGTACCTTCATGACCTCATCCTTCAGCTTGGGGAGGAAGAAGTCCACAATCTGGTACTCCTTCACGGGCAGGGAGTGCAGGTAGATCTGCTCCATGCTGGTGATCTTGCCAGCCTTGACGAGACGGCCGAGCTTGGTGACGGGCTGCCATTCCTTCTCCTGCTCCTTGGCACCACCGCGACGACCACGGCGACCACGGCCACGGCCACGGTCACCACCACGGTCACCGCGAGAGCCGAATCCTCCACGTCCACGGGGAGCGTCAGCCATGTTGGATATATATGGCGATTGAGAAAGTCGGGGGGGGAGAGGTAACGGACGGGAGGTGTCGTTGGGGTTGTCGACGTCGAGGTTGACTTTCTTCTCGCTATCCACAACTTGTTTTGGCACCTGGGAAATTTCGCTGGCGGGTGCGCTAAGCGAGCCCGCAGCCCTGTGCCCTAAGGTGCCCTCCCGATTAGGTAACCCGATTGGGACCCCCCATCCCGTATCATCATGTGACAAGTGGATTATACCCCATTGGGAGCCGTTATCTTCCAATGATTTTGCTTTATTCTTTCCACTTCAACTTCCCGCTGATGCTCTTATCGGCGGTCTGGGGTTCTGATCCAATTATTTGAAGTTATCATAGCTCCCCTTGGGTCCTCTTCTGCTCTTCTCCAACTATTTACAAATCTGGGGCGCTGGGATCATCATCTCCGTTCGCAGTCAATCGCATTAATTAGTTTTACTTAATATATAGTCATATCCTATTCTTTGATAATGTTGCGTTGGTATGTTTTTGTCCATCCTGATGATCAATATTTCCATTGCTGATCAGGCACAGGTATCAGGCGAGGTTGGCCAAGCAGCCTATCCTTACTGCTAGTGTGACGAGTGCTGTAAGAGCTTCATTCTTCCTACAACCCATCCATTCATTTCCTATCGTACTTCCTAATATTTGATCTCAACTCCGACGTAAGATCAGTTTTAGCTGACCTTTATTTCCCATGCGGACTAGCTGTTGTTTGGTAGTGGAGATGTTCTAGCCCAACAATTAGTCGATCGTAAAGGATTTGATAAGCACGACATGGCAAGAACGGGGCGCATGGCTCTTTATGGTGGAGGTAAGCTACTATATATTCCCTTATCGTTCTGAGGTCCCCTTTCTGCTCTTACAAGTCCTGGGAGCCTTCATACAATGCAAGTGGGCAAGCTAACATGTAACAGCTATCTTCGGACCCGCTGCCACCACCTGGTACGGTGTCCTCCAGCGTCACGTCGTCCTGAGCAGCGCCAAAACTACCCTCCTTGCCCGTGTCGTCGCCGATCAATGTGTCTTTACTCCCGCACACCTGACTTGTTTCCTGTCTTCCATGGCCATCATGGAAGGCACCGATCCCATCGAGAAGTGGCGTAATGGTTTCGTTCCCAGCTTCAAAGCGAACCTGGCAATCTGGCCTCTCGTCCAAGGAGTCAACTTTGCCATCGTGCCACTTGAGTACCGTGTGCTTTTTGTCAACCTAGTCGCGTTGGGTAAGTATATCCCAGCCTCCTATTAATATCGACTGATACTGACATCACTAGGCTGGAACTGCTTGTTGAGCCTGATTAACAGCGGTGAGAAGTGACTTTGATTATCAATACCCCATCTGTTGTAGACAGTTTGCAGATATCCCTATGTTGTCCATAGATTACTAGATGTTGTCTGGTCCAATTGTTTTTCATTCAATTATTATACCTACCGGTTTTTCTGCGCGTATTATATAGATTATTTTGGTATTAATAAGTAGCATTATGTTGTTTAGTGCCTTATAAGAAGACTAAATTACTACAGCACTAGTACTCGCTGATAGTTGTGTGGTTTTGATTGTTGTTTGTCGACCTGGCTACTAGACCGCGGACGGATTTATATATTTCAAATTACTACTTGCAAAGTAGTACTGTAAGTAACCGGCTGGAGCACTACTATGAGCTCTCAAACTTGACCTGAACAAATCTCGACCTTGTAACAAGATAACATCAATGAGTAGAATTTGAAATTAATCCACCTCATATATATAGAAAAATAATCTATAAATAAAATTCCCTGATGTCGACAAGATGGCATTCCCGGCGATTAGGGCTGGGGTTGGGCAGCGGTTAGCCTATGAAAGCACTGCAAAGCGGCGTGGCCCAAAAGGGTAAAGTTCCAATCGTGTCCCCAAATGCGGCTTTCTCCAAACCATCAAAACTTCAGGTTGTGATTTTCTGTCGTCGCCTCAAGAAATCCCCTTCTATCACGACTTCTCTCGCCGTGATTCTGCCTGGAGCAGACGACTCAACTTTCCGTGAACCGAGCGCGCCACTTCCCGCTCCTACTCTGAGCCCGTCAACCCCCCCAGCTGCGCCTTCCGCGATTCACTCTCCGACACAAAATTTGCCATCCGCGCTATTTTGTCTCTTCCCCTCCGACACGACCGCTTTCCCTCTCATCACCACAATCCCGCCGTTGCATCCTCTTCAACCACCCTCACTTTTCCCTCACCTCCTCAATCAACTTTCATAATGGCCGCTGTTGCTGAGAACGGTCACGCGCCCGTGGCTGACGAGAACGCCGCCCCCGTTGCTGCCGCCGTCGAACAGAAGGAACAGACCGAGAAGACAAATGGAGACTCTGTCACAGTATTCCACGACCCCGAAAATTTCACTGTGAAGCATCCTTTGATGCACGAGTGGACTCTGTGGTTCACCAAGCCCCCTAGCGGCAAGGTACGGATTCTTGCTGAATCAGACATAGCAGTTGGTCAGAGAACTAACCTCTCCTGCGCAATAGGGCGATAACTGGAACGATCTGTTGAAGGAAGTTGTGACTTTCAACTCTGTTGAGGAATTCTGGGGTATCTACGTATGTGTTTTCCTTTTTGGGTCCTCCGAGGAGTCTCGCCCCGGCTAACCAATGCTTCAATAGAACAACATTTCGCCGACATCCGAGTTGGGCCTCAAAGCCGACTACCATCTCTTCAAGAAGGGAGTTCGTCCCGAGTGGGAAGACCCCCAGAACAAGCACGGAGGCAAGTGGTCATACTCCTTCAAGGACAAGCGCTCCGTGCCCATCGACGACCTGTGGCTCCACGCACAACTGGCCGCCATCGGCGAGACTCTTGAGAACGATGGTGACAACGAAGTTATGGGTGTTGTTGTGAACGTACGCAAGGGCTTCTACCGTGTTGGTCTGTGGACCCGGACTGTTGGCAAGAGTATCCCCGGAGACAAGAACGGTCGTACACCCGCACAGGGCAAGGAGATTCTTGAGAACATTGGTCGGCGGTTCAAGGAAGTCCTTCGTCTCAAGGAGGCTGATGCCGTTGAGTTCTCGGGTCACACGGACAGCGCACACAGCGGCAGCACGAGAGCCAAGGCCAAGTACACTGTCTAAGGTATATAGCCTGTGTGTGCAACTCCATTTACGAGGTATTCATTGCGGATCTGTTTCTTTGCTACGGAATAATGGGAAGTCTTTGTGACGATGGTTGATAACGAATCCGAATGGACCGGCATGAGGAAATGCGCGTCCGACTTGCTAGCATTTGCAGTTACAGTGGTGGTTCGGTCATAGGCACTGATGGCATGCATCTTTCCCTCAGTACGTATTTCTGATGAGGTTTATACCATATTTTATCGAGTTATAGCTTTACGCCTCTAGTGGCTCACAAAATTACGAAAAACACTTTTAAACATCTTATTATAGTGCATGTGCAATAGACATTCCGCTGCCTCTGGCTCTACTGTTTCCACATTGTGTGCCTGAGACTTACTCTACATCTAGGATAGGGATATACTTCGTCGAGCTGACTTGATGCCGATTTTGATCGACGTATCCCTGGTGTAAAAAAGGCGACACCCTGGAACTTCGCCTTCCTACTTATCCGCGGCTCCCAGATGGATGGGTTTTCATTTGGAACTATACTGTGGTCCGTCTCATGGAACGCGTATCTATTCTTGGGTCTCCTGAGGCCGTCCACCGTTCCAGTTCCGCCCAGACTGGACTGATGACCTGCACTGAAGTCATTTTGCGCATCCTGACTCAATCGTTCTAATTATATCGAGCGCTGACTTTTTGCAAGCTTTTTCTGCCTCGTCTCGGTGCCATTTGGAGGATTATAAAAAGGGACTGCCAGCCCTGCTTGTCTCTCGGAAAACCATCCCTCCTACAACTCCCCCCTCCTCACCTATTCTCTACTCTTGGCTCCTACTTCCTTTCTCTCCTCTCCTTCTCCTCCTCCTACCCTTCCTACTCTTCCTACTCTTCCTCACATCTTTACCTTCTATTCTTATCTTAGATAGTTCTATTCTCGTTGCTTCTTCTGCTTGTTTTCTACTTGCTTTTGATAGCGTTCTTTGCGTCCGTTTGGCTTACTCCTTTTCTTACTTCGTCTGCCTGCCCTGCTCGTTCTGCTTTACTTGCTCTGCTTTCCTGTTTGTTCTGCGTTGCTTGCCTGCCTGCCCTCTTCCCTACTATCTCATCTCTCGTCATCTGCCCTTCTTTTCCCTTCTCTGACCTCCCATCCTACCTCATCTCATCTCTTCCCTTCCCTTCCCTTCGCTCTCCTGCCTACCTTCATCTCCCCACCTTCCCCTACTCTACTCTGTCCCGCGTTTCCCTGACCTACCTTACCTACTCCGTTGTTCTCTCTGCCCTCTCCCCTACCATCTCTTCTCTCGTCATCTGTCTATCTCTCATCTCCTTTCCTCCCTTCCCTTCCCTTTGCTCTTCTATTTGCCCTCATCTCCCTACCATCCCCTCCCCTGCCTTGCCCTTCTCTTCCCTTCCCTGTCTTCCTCTGCCCTTTTCCTATCCTTTCCCTGCCCTTTGCCTATCATCTCCTCTCCTTTTCTTCCCTCTCCTGCCTGCCCTGCCCATTCCTTTCCTACCCTGCCTTGTCCTCCCCTACCTCCTCTATCCTGCTCTTCCCTGTCCTTCTCTGCCTCGCCTTTCCCTTGCTTTCTTCTGCCCTTTTACTGCCATCCTCCCCTATCCTTCCTCTACCCTGCTCTCCCCAGTCGTTCCCTCCCATATCTGCCTGCCCCTGCCCTTCCCCTGCCTGCTCATTTCCTGCCCGTTCCCTACCCTTCCCCTTCCCCTATCCTTGCCCTTCCCCTGCTCTACTCTGCCCATTCCCTACCCTTTCCTTGCCCAGCCCTTCTTCTATCCTGCCTTTCCCCTGTCTACCTTTCCCGTTGTCCTTCTTCTGCCCTGCCCTTCTCCTACCCTCTTCTCCCCTACCCTTCTCTTCCCCTGCTCTACCCTTTCCCTGTCCTTCCACTACCTTCCCCATGCCCTTGTTCCCTCTGCCCTGCCCTGCCTTTTCCCTGCCTACCCCTCCCCTTTCTGTCCATCCCCTGCCCTTCTCTGGTCCATCTCCTGCCCATACCCTGTCCTGCCATTCCTTGCCCTGCCCTTCCGTCCCCTCCCCTGCCTGCTTTGCCCTGCCCTTCCCCTGTTCAGCACTTCTCCTGTCTTGCCCTATCCTGCTCTGCCTTGTCCTCCTCTTCCTGCCCTGCCCTGCCTTTCCCTGCCCTGCCCTGCCCAACGTTGCTTTGCTTGTTTTGTGTTGATTTTTTTGCTTTGCCTGCTCAGCATTGTTCTGCTTTTTCATTACTTTTATTCTCGTCTCTTTCTTTGTTAGATAATTTCTTATTCTTATCTCTATTCTTATTAGATAGTTTCTTATGCTTATCTTTTCTTTCTTATACTATTCTTATCAGATAGCTCCTATTATTATTAGATAGTCTCCTATTCTTATTAGATAGTTGTCTTACTCTTGTCTTTTGCTTGTTTCTTACTTGTCATTCCAGTCATTGCTTTTCTGCTTGTTCTGCTTGTTCTGCTTGTTCTGCTTGTTCTGCTTGTTCTGCTTCTTCTGCTTCTTCTGCTTGTTCTGCTTCTTCTGCTTCTTCTGCTTCTTCTGTTTTACTTCTTTGCTTCTATTCCCTGCTTTCTAGTTTCCGTGCTTCTAATTTCTTGTTATCATTTCCGTTCGCTTTTTAGACCTTATTCTCTATTTCTTATTGTTCTTTCTTTGCGGTTTGTTCCCTATTTCATACTTCCCCTTCTCTCCAATCTTTGCCTTCTTTTCCTATTTCCTATTCTCCTGCATTCTGCTTTTGCATTCTGCATTCTGCTTTCTGCTTTCTGCTTTCTGCTTTCTGCTTTCTGCTTTCTGC